CAGGATACAACACTGGATCAGGAAATATGATGGTATAGGGTCTACAGGATTACCCATATGCTTGGCCTAAGGAAAAAAGTAAAAAGTTAGGACTGCCAAACTGAAACAGTTCAGTTACCCTGAGGTAAAACACAGCCCTTTTCTAATATGCCACCAAGTTGGCATACGTGCTCACCTCTGGGGAACACACCTCAGCAGCTCTGCCCTTCTGCGGAACCCCTATAGGAGAGGGTTCTCCTCCGGTTCCCATGCTTGAGAATATGGTAAATGCTATATAAAGGCATGAACTGACAATATGACTTTATACAAGCACAGAGAAGAATAATAGATGTTTTATTACTGGTGAGGGCTACACTTGACAGGATTCAAACAACTCTGGTGTGGAAGTGGGTGAGTAAACAGCCTTTAGCCTTGACTTGAATAATACGACGATACATGAGATGAGGCTTTCAAAGAGAAAGGCCCTCATACCGGCAAGCATGTCACAGGAGAAACGGGAGCTTTGGAGTCACCACAGAGATCTCATTACAGAAACTGCTGTTGAGCGGAGGATTAAGCAAAGGTAAGACAAAGAACATGTGCCCAGAGGGGAATGTGGGCAGAAGGAGCTTAAAGTTCTACACATAGACTTGCTGGCTACCTGAGGAACATGTCCCCTCACCACTGCTCAGATTCTCCTAGGACGACCTTTCTTCTGTTCTAACTTACTTGAAGTTGCAGTCAGTAGTGAGGACAAAAATAAGAAACTAAAAAGAAAGTCTTTTGGTCTGGGACTGACGATTTTTTTTTGATTTACATTATCTTACGTACTGCCACATACAGAGAGTCAGTAATTCACTACACACACAAGCTTAATTTCATGTATGTACACTTACTCTAAACACAGACATCATTCAAAGAGATAAAGCTTTCTTCACGGTCACCTCCACGCCACAGCAGCGTTAAAGTTAATGCAGGATGATATATTTAGAAGACCAGGAAAAAAGTTCTTAGGAGGCAATGGTGAGGAGTGAATGAACATCATGAAAGCCAAGGTACTGGTCTTTAAGTATCTCAGAAATATAATGGACCAAGTTTTGGGCCATTTTTCAAGTATTATGAAAAGAGTTTAAAAACATTCAGAGACCTAGAGCTTCAGCTTACTAAGACTTGGCAGCCTCAGCCATATAAAATGAATGATCGAAAATCACTACATGTCTGCGAGCAAGACAAAGAATTTAAAATTTATGAACTAATAATTGTATTTCTCATGGTAAAAAACACACTCCTCCCTCCTCCACTGTATGTCAAACAGTTTTCTCACCCAGCTTTTTGGCATCCAGGCACAACACAAGAAACACCTTTTTATATATATGTGTGTGTGTGTATATATATATATATATACATATCTATATACAGAGAGAGAGAGAAAGAGAGAGAAAAATTGCTTTGTGTTTCCCAAGAAATCATCTTTTGACAGCAGCAGAGCACAGGGCTAAAGTAAGAGAAACTGGCTCCAGGAAATAGTAGCATTTGTAATAGTAGAAATACGGAGAGCTTAATACAAAAAAAGCTCCATGCCCATGTAAATGTATGTCACATCGACATCATTAAAAGTTAGAAAACTAAAAGATTAGGTATTATAACTATCTTTCAAATGAAGACAATACACAACCTTGTCATTATTCTCTCTCTCTGTTTCTAATCCCAGAGACTACAAATGTACTGTGGCCTACTTGAAAAAAGTGAATGTTTTAGATCATGTGCAGTATAATGATTGAAAATTAAACCCAAAGTGTTATTTAAAAAAAAAGTGTGGGGGGGAATGTTTCCCTCCTTTACTTCTTTGTAGTATAATTCATCCCATATAATTATTTTACAGTACTGTAAAAGTGTCAAAGTACAAGAGAAAAAGTTTCTAAATTTATCATTTTCATTCACCACTAAAATGCAGGTATTTTCTCATGAACTTTTCTCTTATGTCCAGCAGAGGGTAGTAAAGGAATGGCTATGTGAACTCCAAGAAAGTTAAATCTTCACTGCTTGTTAAGTAGTATATAGCGAAAGGTGCAAATGCTTTTTTAAGTAAAATGATACTCTCCATACAAATCACCTTAAGATCATCACTGCCATCATCAAGAACTTAAGCATTCACTAACTTAAAGTTCTTTAAAACAAGGTAGTCTATTGATATTGAAATAAGAGATGTTTCTTGCACACACACTGTTCTCTTGTGATTAATTCAATGAAAGTAATCCATTTTCTAGGAAAAAGGAATTTCATTTCATACACTAAGTATTCCATAATGAATAAGGAAATATAAGGCTAGATCATGAAAAATGTAGAACTTTCCTTCTGGGATCTACTAATTTAAATCTTCTGTATATGAGAGTCGAAATTTAACACAAAATCTGGTATCTGAATTCTATCTCAAAACCTGGTACCATGGGCACAAGTCAGGGATGCTATCAGAATTTTACATAGCTTTTTCTTCTCATACTGGTAATATTTGTTCCCTTTCACTGTGGGGGTTTTAATCAACAGCTGGAACAGTACAGAAGTCAGTGAGACTAAGCTGGATGGACTTCAGTACCTTGCTGCACAGTGAAAACTACTGCCAGAGTTTAGTGCTCTCCTTCCCTGTTCCTCCCACAACGCATGGGAAGCTTCTGGCAATGAAACTGTGATACAGAGAAGCTCATATGCTACAGCAGGCAATTGCTAATGGCAGAGGGGAGGAAATTCTGTTTATGGAAGTGCATTTAAATCCCAGCACCTCCAGGCTTCGCAGGAGCACGTTTGTTCTTGGGATGGTGCCTGTCCTTTGGAAAACACATAATCCTTTCTTTCAGACACAGCTACAAGGGTTGTGAGTTTCCCTCCTTTATCCAGCTACTTGTCCCTAAATGCTCCTTCAGTTCCTTCCCCTCCAGTCTCCCAGGAGCCAGCCCAACAACCAGGCCATGAGAGGTGAAGAACAGGTTAGCTGGTCTCTCTTGCTGAGGTCTTCCTGTTCCATTTCATCAGCAAGGCCAGGCAAAATCTCCATCTGATCAAACGCCAGGGGGTAAGAGAAGTGACAAATTTATTAATCTCAAAATAGGTTTGGACGTAAACTAGATTTCAAACTCTGTTAATGCTAAACTCCACCTGTACACAGCTAAACTTTGGGAATGAGTATTACAGGTGAGAGAACCTAACTTAAAATGGATGTTATGAACTTTACAACCCACGACACCCTGAAGTGGAAGCCCTTCATAACCACGGAAGAGCCAGAACAAACTTTGCTTAGCAAAAGGCGACGCAGAGCAGCAGTAGCTTGTACCATGCAGGCAATGTCAGCGTGAAAAACCTTGCTGCTTTAGTCCAGGTTCAGTCTAAAATCTATAGCAAGCAAAACTAAAAGCTCAAAATATGCAGCGCTTGTGCTTCATAAAAAAACAATGGCATTTTCAGAGGCTCATTAATGTCTCTCTGACTTCAAATACAAAAGAGAGAAGTTAGCACTGCAGGCCCTTTCAGACACTTACATGCATACAATTATCCTTTGAAAGGGTACAGCAAGATGCTAGCTGACCAAAACATATGTGCCCTAGTTTAAGATTACGTTTTTTTTTTTAATTCATAGGCACTTTTGCTAACTTGTCTGAAACTCTGTATGCAAGACCTATTATTACATACCTTCCTTAATCACTGCTGAAGCAGACACATTTACAAGTACCTGAAGATTGCTTTCCTGCACTATGAGCATGCTGTTTCCTCATTAGACTATGAGCATTTAATAAATAAATACATAACTAAATAGAAATCAAGCAACAATGAAAACACGTTTTCTGATTGTGGTTAGTAAGATAGCATCCCCTGATTAAAACCATCACCAGGGCAAACAGGTTTTTTCTCCTTTTTTTGAGAAACTGATCTTTCCCTTTTTAAGACTAGAGATGGATGTTGATAACTTTAAAGCCAGAGAGCACAAAAAAAAAGCTTCTTCATAAACATTTGGAAGCAAAAATATTTGTTTTTGAAAGGGTTACTGGATCTTCACACTACGCAGTAACTAATTAGGCCAATGTGACCAGCTCCCAAAATCTGCGAACAGATTTCCTGTGGACATTTGTGTCCTCAAAGAGGACCTCTGTTGGTCAGTCAGTCAGTGGTTTTTAGTTGATTGATAAACTTTGATCTTCCCCATAGGAATTTTCTTTTGTACTTTGCCTTTAATGTAGTACTCTTAACTATCTAGTAATCAGTGCTTAAAAAAAAAGAAAGAGAAAACAATTTCAAGAGTCTACTGGTAAGAAAGTTGTATCAGCACAAAAACCATCTGCTCGCTGTGCTTTCTCACAGTGACAAATATTTTACCAAAAAACCCTCAGTTCAGACTGTAACCCACAAGTCCCATTACAAATCTACTTAGCAGATAAACAAGATGTTCAAACTGAGGAGAAAACCATAGGCAGTGGTTTTGTAAAAGATGCTAGTTTGGTAAAGATACTAGTCTGAAAATAACCTGAGACTTTTCAAAATGTGTCACTCAACAGACAAACAAACCCTTAGTTTTTAAGTCTAGCTTGGAAGAGGCTGAGTAAGACCATGGCGGTCTTCCAGAATTTTATTTCTGCCTCCTAGCAAATTACCTGGTGCATTTCTCAGCTCCAACAGATTCTCTTTGACAAACTAACTGATTTTAGAAACCTATTCAAAATGGAATTAAGTACAGACATTCTCTTAAGCCAAAAAGCTACCAAGCTGGATAGACAAATTAAGTAGTTAGGCAGAGTTCCCAGGTTCCCTAAGGTAAATTAAGAGCTTAGCCTTGTTTTGGAGTTCTCGAAAGCCTCTTCCCATTTACTGTTCAAACCCCATTCTCAAGCCAGACACATAAGTTAATACTCTTGACCTCTTCAGTGCAAAATCTATGTTCAATATTAGTGAATTCACAGTCTCTAAGGAGTTTTGTCTCTCAAAAACAAAATTGCTGAATCACAGAATTTCAGGGCTTAGTAATCAAAAAACCTTACTTCAATTTCTTTCTTAAGTTTCTCTTCTCGTTCGGAGCAGTACTCAAGCTCACTGGCCTGTCGCCTCAGGAGATCTGAACATTCGTTGTGTTCCAGCTCCATGTCTTTCATTTTCTTGTGCATGTTTTGCAATGTGCTATTCTGCTCCTAGAAAAAAAATACATAAAAGACTGAAGGGCATGCTCACACCATGATGGAGTATACTAAAAGAGTTTGAAAAAGAATACAGTTTGAACGGAGACTTCATGACAACAGATTAGTAGAATTCAACAAGTTAGCACTTGTTACCAAATCCCTTTACCCAACAGTACATATGCTCTTCATTCAACATCGGGTAATATATGTTTGCTTAAAGTCACCACAGGTATAATCTTCTGCAGTCATTCTCAACAGAAAACATCATGTTATCCTGTACAACTTAGGGCTGCTCTACCAATTTCTTCTTCCTCTCAGCTGGACAGCAATGATGTGGAGGGAAGGCATTAAGTAAATCTGATGAAAGGGTAAGATAAATATGGACAGGACATTCTATTTGATTTAGGTTTTAATCACTGGAACTTGAAATTCCAGATTACTTCTGTAAACTAAACAATCCTTATTATTGTTGTTCTAAGGAAAACTTTATTCTGTCCAGAAACTGCAATATCTAGGTACACTATGCACTGTAAAATAATCATCTTGGTACTATAAAATAATCAAGCTGTTCCCTACTTCTGATTTCTGCATTTTGAAGATGAACCAAGCTAGAGGTCGGATAACTGGTGGCACTGCTGGACTCAGCAGTTTTGGCCATAGCTGTGGAATCTCACATGCAAGAGCACTACCTCAGACTGGGAGGAAAGGAGCCAAGTAGTGAACCCCCAGCAGCCCAGCACACACTTAAGATGAGGGATCCCAGAAGTGCCAGAGAGAATAGCTTTGTCTTAATGGACAAGAATAAGCTTTACCATAACTAGCACGAGAAAGAAGGTATAAATCCAGCGATTTAGCTGAAGGACCTTCAGAGACCTAATTTGTTAAAATGGCTTTCTGTGTAAAAGTAGAAAGATTACACTAAGCCCTCCTGTTCAATTATTCCTATTCAACATCAGCGCAAGGCATTTCATGAAAATAAACCAGAACTATCCACTGCTCTACAAATTCTGCTATTAATCTTATGTCGCTTGTTCTCGTTCCTGGAAATTACAAATCATTAAGCACAGCTAGAGCAGGAAGGAGGAGGAAAAAGAAAATGAATTATTAATATAAAATGATTCTTTGTACAACAGGACTATGTTGATACATGAAGATCAAAGAGGGGTAGAAAGTTTTGACCGCTCCAACACGACAACAATGGCACTATGATTATTTTATAACACTATGTGCCATCAATTATTAACTAAAAAATTAAGTTTACTTTCTCTCGTTTCACTCACAGGCATTATGGCACGATTTTATTCTTGTCCTCTGAAGAAGAACACAAGGGATGTGTCGAGCATATGAAGAGTGGAATCTGAAGCTAACTCCAATGCTTCAAGAATAACATGCCAAGATATTACCAAATCCCCTAACACCTGCTCCTATGACATCAAGTCAAAACACACGTTTCTTCCCATTATCATGCTAAAAAAAACCTTAAGTATTCATATAAAAATATATTATTAAAGTCACAGAGATACTGATCTCTTTGGATACATTTTCCCGACATTACAGAGAGAAAAATCTTTACCGATGAAGTAATATGTAGTTGAATACTACGTCAAGACTTGAAAATATTTTATGTTGGAAATACTGATAATATTAGATTAAAATTGACCCGAACACATCAACACATCGTTTAACTCAGAAGTTTTACAATTTCAGAATCTGACAGAAGACGTAGAACTCTTCAGCTTCCTTTCCAACATAAAACTCTGAATTAATCCAGTGGTCTCCTGCACTTATAGGATACAAAGTAAAACATTTTTTACTTTGAGAAACAGCACAAACAAATTTATACATCTGCACATCTCAAAGCGCACTTATTAACGTGCCTTTATGGAAAAGAGTTGAATTTTTTAAAAGCACATAAACAATAACTTCACAAGCAGCTTAAGAAAGATATCTGGATTTTTTTTTTCTGCAAAGGAATATTATCTACTGGCTAACCACAAGGTGATGCTATTGCTCTTGCTTTAATATTTCCACTGCAGCCAGCGTGCTGAGCACACCCGAACCCATGGGGAGGCTGCAAGGACCACCCTCCCCAGGTCACCTTCCCTGGGATTCACCTTTTCCCAAGGATCACTTTCTCTGGGGATCACCTTCCCCAGGGATCACCTTTTCCCAGGGATCACCATCCCGCTCGCGCAGAATGGGGAAATTCAGCTGACTTCATTTCTGCACGCAGTTCAAGACTCTCATGGTGAGGTTTAGAATTACAGTCCCTAAAATGCAGCTTTTCTGACCAAGATTTTCACAGCTGCTTAGAATCACATTTCTGTGCACATATTAAGACAAAAATCAGGTTTATCTACCTTTCTTTTCATAACTCGGTATAGCTGTAAGAGTGCTTAAAAGAGGGTTACAAACACAGTATTCAAAACACTGGAACACTTTTTAAGTTGTCTTTTATAAACGAATAAGCATTTGTTTATAAAAGACATGGGCTCTTCTGCCCAATTTAAAATAAGGGGCTTGTCATACACAACTTCCAAGTAACATCTAAGGTAAGCAAGGGCATTTCTAACATTTATGTATTCCATATTTCCTTATTTTATAAGGCTACATATATTATTTACAAGTAGCGTAATTGGCAGGGGAAGAGGCACAAAATAAAACCAAGTAGGGAAGAAAATGTTCTTCCTACGGAAACCAGATTAAGATGGGGTGATTAGTAGTGAATCAGGTCTACTTTGGAAGTGAACAGTTTTGTAGCTTTAACGCATTTACCCACTGCATACGGGTCTCTGCAGACAACCTTTACTTCTGCATATCCACCCCCTGGCAGAGAATAGTATCCCACATAATACTCTAGTCATGATCTTAGTCCAAACTCCATTGGAAACAATGTACCTCTTCAACACTAGCATTTTTTCCACCTCTTTTCAGCCTTAAAAGTCACTGATTGTGGCTTCTACACAACACTGAAGGTAAGTGAAAGCAAGTCCACTTGAATCTCTCTGAACCCAAAAATGTCTACTCTTAGGCAGGTCTCAGAGTCAATTTCCTGGCAATACATTTAAGTTGTGATTTACGTATACTTGTGCAACTCCACTTTAAAAATTACTTTCCCCTCCCCCCGAGTCCTTCAACAAGGACAAGGGCAGGGTCCTGCATTGGGCAGGAATAACCCCAGGCACCAGGACAGATTAGGGGTTGACCTGCTGGAAAGCAGCTCCGCAGGGAGGGATTTGGGAGTCCTGATAGACAACAAGTTAACCATGAGGCAGCAATGTGCCCTTGTGGCCAAGAAGGCCAATGGGATCCTGGCCTGCAGGAGGAGGAGCGTTGCCAGCAGGTCGAGGGAGGTGATCCTGCCCTTCTCCTCAGCTCTGGTGAGGCCGCACCTGGAGCACTGGGTGCAGTTCTGGGCTCCACAGTACAAGAGGGATGTGAAGCTTCTATAAAAAGTCCAGTGCAGAGCCACGAAGATGGTTAAGGGCCTGGAGCATCTATCTTATGAGGAAAGACTAAGTGAGCTGGGCCTGTTTAGCCTGGAGAAGGATGACAGGAGATCTGATCAGCACGTTCAAGTACCTGAGGGGTGACTGTAGGGAGGATGGGGCCAGGCTCTTCTCTGTGGTGGCCAGTGACAGGACGAGGGGTGACGGGTGCAAGTTGAAACACAGGCAGTTCCACCTCCATATGAGGAAGAACTTCTTTCCTGTGAGGGTGACAGAGCCCTGGAACAGGCTGCCCAGAGAGGCTGTGGAGTCTCCTTCTCTGGAGATCTTCCAAACCCGCCTGGATGCCACCCTGTGCCACGTGCTCTGGGTGTCCCTGCTGGAGCAGGGGGTTGGACTAGATGATGTCTAGAGGCCCCTTCCAACCATTACAACTAGAGGTCCCAACCTCAATCATTCTGTGAGTCTGAAATTATATGAAGAATACAAACCCACAGTATAAAATAGATTACACAGTCTTTCATAATAGGGAGTGTGATTCTTTTTTAATTAAATTCCAATAAATTATTTCTACCTGCACTAAGTTTGCTGAAAGAAGCCAACAAGGTTTTAAGGCTTCGCATCTTTCACATGGGACATAGAGTAGGCAATGTGCAATGCTGGTGAAAATGCCATCATCACAGTTTGGGGTACCTGACAAATGTGCTCTTTTTGTACTGCAGAAATGATTTTCAGATTCAGAGGCATTCAGACTGGGGAGATAAAGGTCAAAATCTTCTGCTTCCCTGATTTTACTAACTTAGCTTTGCACTGCGGTGCAAACATACCTCACCACAGATTTGCACAGAGGACTTTTTTATTTGCTTACCACAACAAACAGCAGCAATATATTCCATCAAAACAGGAAAGACTGCAAAATAGTATAACTTCCCAAAAGGTGTATTTTTCACAGATATTCTGCAACAATTCTTTATTTTGGGGATTATTTGGGAAATAACTCCCCCAGACAAGAAAATAATAAAAACCACACACAAAATTTTCATTTTCCCATGAGAAATGTTACAGATATTATTTCAGACAATTTATCTTCCCAGCTACATCATACCTGCAAAATGCTTTCTAGTCTGAGCCTCTCCTTAAGGAGCAATTCATATTCATTATTACAGGTCCTGAGAATATCATCTTTCTCATCTAGGTCACTTGTAAGTCTTTGCTGCTGTTCTTTCCATTTCTGCTGAGCAATATGAAACACTTTCTCAGTCTCTGCCACCTTCTGCTGAAGATTTTCATTCAGAGCTATTATTTATAGAATAAGAGAAAGAAACAAGACAAGTATCACTGTTGAGTTTGTTCAAAATATCGTACAGCAAGTGTTGGCTCCTCTGTGTTACATTGTGGTGCATTAGAACATTAAGATCTCTGACACTGAGGAATACTATCTTCTTTACAATATAATTAAATAATAAAATCTTAGCTTCTGATAACATCTTTCACACAAGAACTTAAGTACAGTCCAGAGAGTTTACTTTAATTAAACTGAGATCCTCTTGGGAGGGGATAAAAAACCACAGAGATAACTCTTTGAAGCATGGAGGGCTCAATTTGCAATCTCCAGAACCCCTGGCCAGCTTTGATACAATCATTTGCCAGTCATTTTTCTACTGATTAACATTATTCTTTTGTCAAATCCCATTTCAAACAAAATTCCAAACATGCAATAAAATATGTATATTTTGATACTGAGCTACCTGGGAAGGTCATGTTACTGTCTAAAATGAAAGAACTGAACTGAATGCATCTGAATTGCACTCACTCTTCTGCTCTTGCTGCTAACCCTATTTTTTCCACAGCTCTGAAGTTCTGTATGTCCAAGCTCTCTTATATCCTAAAATTTGAGCTATTGATGACTCCATTACAATTTTAGCTAGGACACTGTACTCCAGCAAGTCCTTATATTTTTGAACAGTAAAATCTCCTTTCTCTTCTTTCTCACTGCATACTAACTGTTCTTCATCAAGAATCCTATAAATTTTTGAAGAAAATAAGATTACTATCATAAAATACCCTAAACCTTTATAAATTTTTCAATAAAACAACGTAGTCTATTCTGAAGTGTCTTCTTCTCTCCAAAAGTTATCCAAGCCTAAGCATGAAGATCTGCAAGTACGTATCAGCAAGGAACTCATTTTAAATGACAGTAACAGCCTGTTACTGAAGTTCTTCGCAGTCTGTGCAATGAAAATCTTATGAAAATCCTGTGGCTAGTGAGTTATGCTAGAGAGAGCTAAGCTGTCCTGAGGTAAATTACGGCTCCTTAAGGGAATTAAAACCTCAGCACAGCAAACGCCCTGAAACAGGGGAAGATGGTGTGCAGTCTTCTGTGAAATCTGCAAACTTTGCTGAAAACTTCACAACATTATTTATTATGTATCTATTATGTAACACAGACTGCATAATTTCTTGTTACAAACTTGCTTTCAGATAAAGCCACTTGATATTAATTTCTCACTTTGCTGTATACAACAAGATACATTAACATTTAAGTGACCACCACCTCCTAATGTATTTTTATCTCAATTCCTTGCACTTACCTGTAATTTCATTTCAACCTAAGAGGAGGAAAACAAACAGAACACACACATCAAAAGTGGTGGACAAGCAACGGACAGAACAACAGGAAGAGACTATCACATAGCAAAACATCAACTCTCACTGAGAACAGTTGAAAAACACATAGGAGGAAATGGAGAAGGGGAGAGCACGCCACAAAGGGGCTGTCCAGGCAGTCAAATACCAGTCACATTAAAGCACCAAACTGAAGCTGGAGCTGAAGAAGACTCGAAGTGACCAGGAAAGGAAAAGCAGTAAGTCACTAACTGCAGAAAAAAATGAAAAGCAATCTCATAATGATTTGACTTTTGGCCATCTATTAGTTTTCTAAACAATAAGGTAAATCATAAAACAAGATTTTAAATACCTGACCTTTTAAAATGCACACTGTTTGCCTCTAAGGCAGACAGGTTCAAGGGCAAACAAGTAGGATGATCATGCACACGAAAAAGAAAAGAAAAGAAAAAAAAAGATAGCTTTCCTCTAAGTAAACAGTCAAAGTCTTCAACTTGTACTGGAGAAGGAATTTCCAATGAAAAATACTTTTTTTGCCCCTCTCTGTGCCATTTGCAAGAATGTTTTACTTTTCAGTTTTCCCAAGCAGTTAAAAGCTCAGCTTTCTAATTATGTCAGAAACATATGATACTTCAATTATTTTAAAGTTTCCAAGTTGCTCTTTAAAGAATACAATGTGTAACTCTAAATTGTTCATGCAACATAGAAGTCAGCAAATTCATAAATGCATTTCCTGTATTAGGTTAAAAAGGTATTACATTGCTTAGATAATCAAAATGCACACCACTTCCACATAAAGACCAAAAGTCTGCCTGCTCTCTGTTGAGTTGGATTAGGGAAATCCAAATTTCCATGTACAAAACCAATAGGAAAAAGATATTCCGGTTAAATCTCCCCTTCTACAAACTGCTGTCAAATTTCCTTCCACAACACATGTTCCATTACCTATAAAAAAGGGAGGAGGATGAGAAGGAAGTAAATTGGTTATGATCATTGAAAAGCTTAAAATTTTGAAATAGTGAAAGGTAATAGTGAATTCAGTGTAATCTGAATTGATGGACAAAATTGAGAGAGTAAACAAGTGAAATTCAGGCAGGATAAAAATGAACAGGAAGGGATCATTTTTTTCCTTGACTTTGAAAAGCAAAAAGAAAAAAAAAAAAACACTGCTGGACAGGGCAGTAACCAGGATGCGGAGACATCCATAATCACAATCCTGTGCAAAGGCAGCAGTGAAACTTGATATTAAAATAAAGGGGAGGGAGACAAAAAGAGAACTTCAGTAAGAGTGAAAGTGAACAAAGGATTTAAGTCACGATAGGTTTATTAGGTTAGTTTTAATTCCCACATGAGACAGCAAGGATAACAGTTTACCAAAACAAATGGATTAGACACGGGAAGGACAAGAGATCCAAGAAAAACTGCAAAGGCTGGAAAATGCAAGTAAGTCACTCTATGTCCATTGTCTTCCTGACTTGGAACAGGCTGACTCATTGTTCTGTGTGTGCTCTTTGAAACATACCTTGCAGTTGCTCAAGTCGTTTGTTTGCATCACTTAATTTTTCTTCTGCAGCATATCTTTTCAGACCAGCATCTTTTCTGGCAATTGCCAGTTCATACTCGAGGCTTTGTCGAACAGCCTCTCCTTTCTCAACTTCAGACCGTAATTTTGCAATTTGGCTTTCATAGGTGGACAGCTGTAAAAGAAATTTGTTCCAGGGAATTGGCAACAAAGGTCCTTAAGAAAATGTAACATTACAGAAAAAAACACAGACTATCTTTTGAAAGCGGAAGACTAGTGTACAGCTGTCTTCTTTTTCCATTTGAACTTAAAATACCCAGAACCCTGAAAGTGACAATGCAAATTCTAAGTGGATTCTGAGTGATTTATTGCGGTTTTAATGCAAACTAGTTATATTTTGGTCATATTTCATGTATGTCAAAAAGCTTTTTTTTTTTCTTTCCAAAAGTATATTGCCTTAAGAAAACAGAAACAGTCAGAGAAGCAGGAATTTCTTAATTGGGATTTATTCCTAAAAATAAATGGCCTTGGAACAGCAACTTTGTTTTTGCTGTTGTTGTTTTTGTTTGCTGATTTTGCCCCAAATGTGAAGGAGCACTTGCATCAACTGCCTTCCAGCAGCCTCTTAGGAGCAGAAGTCTTATTCAGAACAGTAATAATTCTTCTACATTAGAACAGTTCAAATTAGGGCATCAGGCATCAGACTGTCATTAGCAACTGTGTAAAGTGTTCATAGTATCATACTTGATTACCACTACCTCTGTATCTAGTGCTCACCTTCATCACCTATGCACTCATGAAAAGCTGATACTCAACTTAAATAACAGTAATAAGCTAGTTGCTTACTATTATGTACATCATTTCAGAGCTAGTTACAGTATTCTGAAGAAAAACCTTTTAATGAAGAAAAAGTACAAGTCAAGTACTCTTGCAAGGGAAGTTCTCATTAGAAGTACGAGGTTACTGATGAACAAGTCAACATGTTTGTATTCTGTACATTTTAGACTAAAAAAAAAGTAAAATTGCTAAATTTGCCCAAGCAGAAAAGTTTCGAAAGCATTAAAAGACATTGTATCTGAATTTGGTGCATGCATCCATTGGGTTTATGGACTATAGAGGATTTCTGCTCAAATCATGTTAAATGAATTAAAAGGGTATGCCAACTCTCTGCAAAATAGTCTTTTTATCAGACTCAATTTGAGCTACAGATGCCAGCAGGTTGTGCTGACAGTCCCAATGAATATCTGTACAGAAAAGATCTGTACAATATCGCCTTCCTCACTTTTTTTTAAAGGTAGAGACTGCTTTTGATACACCACCTGGGAGCATTATTTTAAGGAAACAAAGTTACATTATTCCAAGAATAAAACAATTTAAAAGAACAAAAAAAGAAAAATACTTACATCCTGATTATGTTTAATAGTTATGTCTAATTTTTCTTTTTTAGCTTGATGGAGTTTCCTTCTCAGATCTTCAGCAATGTCCAGTTCTGATTCATTGCTATTTTGCAACAATCGTGACTCACTTTTAGTACTACGTAAGCTGCAAAATATGAATGATTTCAAACAATATGAATGTTCTTTACATGGTTTAAAGCTCATTTATTTCAATGATCAGATTGCAAGCCAAAAATTCAAACCATTCACTTAAAAAATCTATGTAGCTATACTTGCACTACTGCTTTAAAAAAAAAAGTATATCATACAAGATGATACAAGCTGCAGACCTTTAAAATAAATATACACTTTCATAAGGGTAACTTAAATACATAGTGATTTTCTTCCCCATTCACTCCAGTGTCTTTAATAATAATTGAATAAACTTTTGTGATGCTGAAAAAACATCATTCCAACCACCTGAATGAAAATGATTACCAATCTCTTAATTGTCTCCTATAGTAAGTCTACGCTTTACCATATATAATTATCTCAAAACCTCCTTTATCCTGCAATAAATGCATGTATTTGGAAATAGTCTCAGGTTTCCAACTTCTTTTTTTCCCTACCTGTAAATAATGCACAAGCAGTGGCTTATAAGTACTATAAAGGCCTAATCTTCCAAAATACCTAATACCTTCATTTAATAATTTTAATTTAAAATATTACTCAGCATTTAGCAGAATCAGCCCTTTATATTAGAGGAGACAAACTTGTATGCACCAAAAGGAAAATAAGAGCCACGTTACTAGTTTAAGGGTTAGTGTGAGAACCACAAGCAAAGAAACAATGATAACTTTAAAGACAAAGTAACAGCAATGAGGTTTCTTATTATACCAAATATCGCTATTTTATGTATGCCTTCAGTGCAGCGATAAAGTCAAGCGAGAATTAAGAAGGATAAGAACTGCCACGTATGATGGAAACTGTAAAATTTCACTTGTGGACACCACATAAAAAGTCCTGGAGACTTTTTTCTTTTTATAAAATTTCTGGGAAAACAGAGATGAAAGAAAGGCAAGACCTCTTATTCAGATATAATGCAAGAAGGATCAGTCTCAACAACAACAACAAAAATAACAGAGAGAAAACCAGAAAGCACCGAAGTTGGCAAATCATATAATAAGGTGAAAAAGAAAACATAAAGGGAAACAACTGTAAGACTCTGTGGAGAAGGATAGGACAAAAAAATCAGTATTATGGGAAGGATAATAGTTTTATTAAAGTGTCCTGTAAATCTGATTATATTTAAGATTTCTTTCATAGAGCACACTTCTTGTAAGCTAGGAAATTAATACCTACTATGTAGTAAATAAAAGTACCTTTAAATTTTCAAGTAAATTGAGAAGTTTGTGCATCGAGCAACTTTCATGAAACCGTGTTACTAATTAGCAAGGACAGATACACAATTGAGATACCTCCACAATACACCTGACTCAGTGGAAAATTTAACTATGTGATTAAATGCTCTCTAGAATTAGACCATTGGGAAAAAAAGCAAAGTTACAAAACATCATAAATAATAACACATCAGGGATATTACATGGATGAAAAACAAATCCAGAAGCATTATAAGACATAACAGTCACTACAGAAAGAAAAAGGACTAAGGTAGTTTTTAAAACAGCATTTCCCATCAAACTTCTAAAGTTACATTACTCAAAAAGTTAAAGCTGTAGAAAAAACCACTAAACCTATATTTGTTCTTATTATAGCCTTAAACCATCAGTATCTTTTAATGTTAACCATTAAATTATTTAACTTATTTACATATCTATTCAAACATTTTAATTTAAAGTACAGACTGGCTTTATGCTTTCTTATTTCTGTAAGAACATTTTCTTTAATCTCTACAGGCCTCCAGAACACATAGTACTTCATAAAAACTCCAAGTCAAAGGAGATTATTCCTTCCATATTCATATGATAAGTAAGAGTGTTGTGGGCATGATTAAAAATAACAGAAACTTAAACAAAAGACAAAAGCCATGTGAAGACCCCGGGAAGTTTCACAGCGCATATGATTTGCAATCTAATAGGAATTCAAAGAAAGCTTTGTATTTCTGCTGTCCCCTATTAATAAATGACAATCTTTTTTTTTTTTTTTTTTCCTTCCCCAAAAATATATGTCCTTATCAACTACAACTCTCGAGGAAGACACTATCATTAACAGTGTTTTTAATTTTTTTCCAGAAAACATAAAAGCAGGTGAAACAGTCAACATGTTTTACTTTGCCAAATGAACTTAAACTGACATTTAACTCAAGTTAGCTAATTATACTGGATATAGAATTTTTTTTAATTAAAAAAGAGGGGGTTACCAGCTTTTTTCCCCAGACCTAACAGGAAAAACATAGAGTAGCTCTTTAACACTTCAATTTAGTACTTATCAGTGGGGTTTTCTAAATTTCCACAGCTGAAGTCTGCATTCAGATTTCCTAACCACAGTTCACATTCGGGGAATTTCACTATTTCTGCTAAAGTAACTGAGAGCTTTGTATAGCTAGTTTTTAAATACTGACAAGCAGCTCCAACAACTAAGATAAGCAGAATGAATTAAAGACGACTTTAATTATAACAACGATCTGATGTACATCAGGTTGCACAAAACAAAAAGCACATGAAAGACTAAGAAACCTTTAACTGAAAATTTCCTTCCTACTTTCCTTGGAATATATTAACAACTTTGATGGGACAGGGCAATCCATTTGAAATGAGCGCTTTGAAAGAAAAACAGGTAGCTTGCAGTAAAACAAAACAAAGTAGAAGAAGGAAAAGGGCTGAACCTCCCCTCCACATACCCATGTTATTCCATGTACAAGAGCCACTGAAAATATTTTCAAAGTTCCTTAGCACCTACTTCTTCGCTCCAGCAAGGTATACAGTCTTGTTCTCTGTGTGAGCACACGCATGTGTACAGAGAAGCTGAGTGCCAGCACCCCAAATTATGCAGGAAAACTTTCTGGAACTCAAAGTAGGCTTCCTAAGTGTATGCAGTAACTGCCTGTATCTCTAGGCCATGTTGTTCATAACTATTCATATTTCATATTTATATTTCATAGCTATTCCACAATTGGATGAGAGTTCTTGTATGTCTGATGGCCAAAGCGTACACCTTCTGGTAAATCTCCCCAGAAATCACATTAACATGATTTACCTTTTGTGCATCACATCATTTATCTGCTTCTTCTTCATTCTGAATTACATCATTCCAGAGAGAGCTCAAACAAAAGTCAAAGATTATCCAGATTATTATACTCCAGAACAAGAAATTGGAGCTCACCATTTAACTTCAGGGACAGCATAGCTGACAGGAGAAGATAAACTCATGACGTCCAACATGCAGCTTTTCAAGTCCATAAATTCTGGAAAACGTACATAATCTTTTACTATAAATAATTTTCAACAGACTGGGAAGCTTCAAAATTTTCTCTTTTCCATATCACAGAAACATACTGAAACCTGCAACACAGAAACAAGTTTTGCTTTACTTTGCTTGGCAACACAGTGAAAAAATTGTTTCTCAACACGCAGTTACCAAAGAGTGTTACTATCAAGCCACGTGAAAAAGGATCCCAAATGTAATTCAACACCAGCCTTAGTAACCAGCGAGAACGGTGCTCTTACAGGCTCTGTTCTCTAAATTTGAATAATATTAGTGAAAAAAAGAAAAAAAAATACACTTTAAAAAGTATCTGCTGCTAGAATCTTCAGAGGAGGGATGTCAAAGCAAATTTTATTTTATGTTGATTATTCCCCTCCTAAGAGACTAGGCTCCATAAATCCTGTAATTATAAGTGGAAATAAATGCACATACTATGATTTTTTAATATTTCAATATTCAAGTCTTTTGACAAAACATGCTTTTACTTGGCAAGTCCTATGGCTGCTACATAAAACCAGCCATTACCTACTTGAAGCTATTTTTATGTAATACTAAATGCGTTAGCAGCATTGGGGGATATACAGAAGCACCAGCCCGAGCTGTTGGGAACCCTGATGAGAAGGGGAAACGTGAACCGCGTATCTGGCTGCAGAGGAGTGACGGGCTGCGAGGCCAGCCCGGCTGCGGAGCTCGGCGCTGGAAGGCGGCGGGGCCCTCCCCTCCGCACGCCGCGCGCTACACAAAAGCATGAGGAACCGCCAAATCTTCTTCCTCGTACTGCTTCACCTTAAACACTTTTCCTCGTACTTCTTTACACTCAAACACCCCAAGCTGCTCCAAAGTATCTGCAAAATCAAGCAGAGCAATAAGGGAAAAAAAGCCCAGCGGAACAGCTTGCTCCAGTTCTTTGACAATCAGAATTCACCTGAATTTTGCTGGTTCCAAAACACACATGGTCTCACAACAGCCTCTCCCCAGAAGACCTGTGTTCTGAAGGAAAGCGTTACCACGTCCCATCCTTGGCACCAGGCACAAGCTCTGACCTGGGTTCGCAGCACAGCCACGTGCCAGGCACGTGCAAACGGACACTAAATCACTAGTGATGGGAGAACAACTCTGCCTTTACAACGCATGGAGATCCTGACACATTATCCACAGCGCGCACCTCTAAATCACTTGTTATGCTACGTACAGAAATATATATTGTAACACTATGGCAGGGAGGGGCAGAGAGAAGGGGGTGACAAGGAGAACTTGGGAAATGCAGACCTTTACCAATTGCAGCTAATCAGTTACCTTCATATGAAGGTGCAGCTCTCAACAGTGAGAAATCATTTTTTCAAAGGATATTTACCTAATTAAAGGTAGGACCTTTTTCCAGGGCTTTTATCAACCCGTTCAAATAATCGCAAGTAATTCTGTGCTACATTTGAGATACGCCTTATAATTGTTAACTTGTCACCTTCATGTGGCCAACTATGAACGTCCCTGAGAATGGAGCAACTCATCGCATCTGACTTCAATATCTTATAATGAACTGTAGGAATATATATACACGTATACAGGTATCCCCAGGTTTAGCAACCCCAGCGAGCTGCTCCAGGATAAAATAACCCAAACCATGGTGTTAACACGCAAACTCTGGGGAAAACCGATTGCAAGTTAACACTTACGTATGGCAGACTACACCATGTATACGAAGGGTGTTTTAAGGCATGAAGGGACTTTTACCAATGCAAACCCTGATTTTTACTACAGCCCTAACCCAAGTGAGCTGCCCTGCGAGCACCGTTGCGGAGAATGTAGGAACCACCTTCTGCTGGGACCAGTGGTACGGAAGAACCCTGGCCAAGCCTAAAGCCTAGGGAAGGGCTCACAGGATGTCACGCTCCCAGCTAACAGGAGAAAGCCCAGAGAGTTACCGGACCGGGAACGCACTGAGAGCAAAAAAATAAAATATAATACGCATAAAACAATAAATTAACATAAAAAAAAAGAGGAAAGCAGCATCACC